TGGTTCCCATTGCTTTTTCTACACAAATTCCCAAACTCACACATCCTAGTCTATTTATGTCTCCGTTTCTAGCACGTTCTCTGGGATTTTCCACCTCCTTGCTCCTTATCCCCTCCCTTTCTATTTAACCCTGAGCTCTCTGTTCTCCACAAGATTCTATTTACCAGAGTACAGTCTATGTATTAGATCTTCCAATTGTCTTGCTCAAGATACCCATAACCATCACTGACCTTTTTCTTCTCAGAATTCCTATAGAACTATTAATATCACTGCATCTATTGTTATATACTGATATAGATACAGGTAAGATGGAGAGAGAGAGAAAGTAAGAGGTATTATTCCTCACTAAATAGTTGCTGATGGATAATGGACAGAGGTGACAACTTTGCAGAGGAGCTGGCAGATGCTCAGCGTCCTAGAAGAAGAAGCCGTGACTGCACAGTACTAGCAGAATGGGGATACACAGGCATGTAGGTCCCACCCTTCCAGTTCTGTGAATGGAGAGAAATGAGCAAATGCGTAACAATCTTTTATATGCTCACAAATAAATGAGACTCAGCTTCTGGAGTACCAATCCTGTGCCAGGCCCTGGAGGCACACACATGGTCACAGCTGTTGTTCTAGCTCCTATCTACACGGATATGCACTTTGGTGTCCCCATGTCTGGATTATGTCTGGGAGGGGAGTATGTGGAGCGGCCAGGTATCAATAAATCATGGCCCTCACCTGCTTTTACATCGTGGCTCACACGCTTTTCTTTTGAGAAGCACTGTTGAAATAAAATCAGCTGATATCAGGCCTTCGTGCACACTCCTCAGAGATCCTCCTTACCTGCTCTCAGACCATATTGTCAGTGTCACCCAGGATGACTTGTAGAAGCCCCTCTTCAAAACCTTCCCTCACCCTGTAGTATGCTCTAACTTTCTCCATGCGAGTTTGACTACCCTGGCCCAATCAGCCCACCCATCCAACATTTTACTTATGACTTCTGACCACAGGTATCTTGTGGCATCCTGAGCTGTGTGGACTGCCTTTGTCCTGTAAAATATTCTTTTTGTGAAGTATCTGACTTCCATGCAGTGTCTATGGAGATCTTCCTTACATGGAAGACATTCAAGAAACATTTCTGAAGTAAATAAGCTAAGAAGGAAGCCAAGAATATGTTTATGGAACTCTACTGCTGATTTGGGCTAGCAGTAGAGCTAATGATCTTCATTTCCAGCTCTCTTTCATATTTCATTACTTTATTATAAGCTCTACTTAATCATCACAAGACCTAAGGCTTTGGTAGAAAGACTATTCTATATTCTAAAAATAAACAGAAGCAATGACTTCTGTGCTAAAGACCATAACTATAAATGTAAACCATTTTAAAAGCATATTCATGTCTAGTGCACAGTGTATGTGCAATTTTGTTCTTCTGTTTCATGATATGTGGGTAGCCTCTCACTGGTAGGGAACTTTGTATATGCCAAGGGCCATGTAGAGAATCCTGCATCATTCACAGTCCATTCAAAGTTAACAATACAAGCAAACAGCCATGGGCAGCCCAGGAGAAGCATACAAGAAGCTTCTTGTCCATCCTGTCATATACAAATGATTTTTAATTTCTCCATCTCTGATAGTGTAACAGCCAAGGCTTTTCATATAACCAATTACCTAAATTACAAGGCTGATATAAATTATAAATGTCTTATCCTTTGAATGATTTGATAACTGAAAATATTTGGGACCAGTTAATCTATAATCAGAGCAATCATTTCATGATCACTTCTCTGAGATTTGTGGGCACAGGGTGGGGGAACAACAAGTTATTGTGATGATTTCTTTCTAGAAAAATGAGGCTACACAAACAACCTAAGTCTAGTGGAGCTCTAGTTTAGGGGAGCTTTTCCTTTGATAAATAGAAGAGTCACTGAAAAGGAGAGAGGAAAAAGAGAAGAAAAATGTACTCATTACCTTACGCATGTAACTGTAACCCCTCTGTACAGCATCTTAAAAAAAAACTTTGACTTTTAAAAATAAATGTTGACCAGGTATTCAAAAAAAATTAAACAACTTAAAAATCCTCTTCATATTCAGTTCTTTAGCCATCTTTTGCTCTGGCCCCAAACAACAAAACTTCATTTCCTTTTTAGGTTCCATTAACCTTTCTTTTGAGCGACATGGTCTCATCTCTCACAGTGATTTGGGGTACAATTAAATCACAAGATTTTTGCTTGTTGAAGATTTGCTCACTCATCACAAAGCTCCCTTCATGAATGAAAAAATTAAGCCTGTTTTTTTTTCTTCTAAACACTTTCAAGATGTTCATGGGGAAAACACCAGCAGTTACAGGGGGTTAGAATAGTCTAAAAATTGCAGTAATTTCTAGTAAATGATAGCATCTTAATCTCTGCCTTTCTTCCTTCCATCCTAGGTAAGTGGTGTTTCCTCTTTGTGGCTTTGGGCAATGCTGGTTATCTGGTAAGTGTTGGTGTGATTGTAAGGTTTGATGCTACTTCAAGACTGCTTGAGAATTTCCTGTGAGGACCAAAACACAAAAACAGAAGCACCAGAGAACATTGGAAATGCTTTCTTTTCATCGAGAATTCTGGTGAGACATTTTGAGACCTTTTTTAGGTCTGCATTTTCACTTGGGAGTTAGAACTCCCTTGGTTCTTAATTTTGGAAAAGGGCCTTGGGGCTGATTAAGTGTTGATGAAAACTTGCCTTTCATAAATTCTTTTTATGTGGATTTTCTTTCTTTCTTTTTCTTTTCAACTCTCTGCCTTTATTGGAATTTTTAAAATGTCTCTCATTCATACTTCAATTTAAAAAAACATAAAACTGCATAGAGAGTTATTTTACATAAGATTTTGCAACTTATATGTGGTGTGACTCTGGTATATTGGCTGTATCCTTACCAAATCTTCTCAGTACACAAGGACTTCATCAACAGAGCATGATGTGGTTCGTAGGGCTGGGCACAATATAGTAATTGCGTCTTCCTTCAGAGTAGCATTTGTGTTAAGTTACTGAAACTGATGCTTTCTTATATTTCTAGTTATACTGACATATTGGTTACTTTAAGGATTTCTTTCCATAAGTAGTAACTTGAGAGTTCTCATTTGCTATGTATGTTGTTACTGCCTGAATTGCTTCTTTAAAGGAATGCCCTGAGAATAATCTAGAAGGCTCAAAGTCCTTTGATTTGTATAAAAAATTTCTCAGTAGAGTTCACATATCTCACAATTTGGTTTTACTTTATTTTTTTATGATGGTGGACTTCTCTACTTTTTTGACCTCACAGAAATTTTGAGATTGAGATTGTGTGTGTGTGTGTGTGTGTGTGTGTGTTTTCATGGAACACAGGAAATGAAGTCTCTATGAGTTTAACCTGTGTGTGGTTATTATACATTATTAGTTTCAATGATTTGTTCTGGTAGAAGCTGTTGATTGTTAAAGGCATTTGACTTCATTCAGCTATATTCTGTTTTCCTAGCCTTCATATTCCTCATCCCAAAGTTCTTGCCTTTATATTCATTAATTTGTGTTACATGCCATTTGTTTCTTGAAGAGATTTTTATTTAAACAGATTTATCTTGATTTGGTTTAAACAGATCTAGCTTGATTTTTGCTTTCAGTAATCTTACCTTCAGTAATTTTACTTGTGTGTTTATGTGTATTTAATAGAACATTTGAAGAAGAGGCCCCAGAGGTCATCTTGGTTGCTCTCAACATGTTTAAAAGACTGTAGACATTGCTTTAAATAACCTGTAATGGGATTTTGACCCCCTGCTGTTTTCAGTCTTGCAACAGAATTTTTCTATTAAAGGTTCTGGATTTTAAAAAGATCAGAAAACAGGAGACAAAAAGATGGAAGGGTGAAGAAGGTTAGATTTCAAACTTGCATAGGCTTTCTCCTAGACTTTGAAGCCTATCAGAGCTCCACAGACATGTGAACCAAGACGTTATTTGAACAGCTCGCTTAACAATGAACTCGATGGTGAAACACATTTTAAATTGACAAAGTTAGCCTGCACAGGGAGCTTTTCATTCTTTGCCTTTGACCTTATTGGATGCCATAAATGAAATATGGTGGTGTAGGTTGGAAAAGACCAGGGGCTACTTATTTGTATGACTTCTGTGATGGGAGAAAAAAAAACCCTAAGAGTGAACAAATACAGTGTGTTTAACTCTATTCCCTTTACTCAAGTGACAAGAATACAAAGATGATTTGGTTGCTTTGGTAGGCGGTTTTCTTTCATTATTTTAAACTTCTTTTCATCTTATCCAGGTTAGCCATGCAGAAGAGCAAATTCTGAAGAAGTACCTGGGTTATTTTCATGATAAAGAAAGCTTGATAATATTTTGTGTGAGATCAAGTCAGTTTTTAATTTAGGCATAACCATTTGTATCATTTTGTTTTTATTTTGTTTTTATTGTTATTATTAAGGTGGCATACAGTGGGTTTTTATTTACTTAAATCAGGTAAGGAGTACATTTCTTTTTGGACAATGTCATTCTTTCCTGTGCTCTCCCAGATTTTCCTTCCCATCCCCACACACAAGTTGTATAGTTCATTTTTAAACTAGTGTCCTGTGAGTATCACTGCTGCATTTGTCCCTCCATTTCTGAGCTTTCCTTGTATTCCCCAAAACAAACAAATAGGACAAAAAGAAAAGAAAACAAAAACAGCAAAAAAAAAAAACCCTTGCTTCCATTTCCTGGAACTGATTTCAATAAATATTATTTTTTGTGATCAGATGCACATAGGATTTGTGCCTTTCTGTTCTTCTCCTAAGAGTATCTTCCTTTGGTCTCACTGTGTGTGGATGACTAGTGACCTGTATAATGAGAGAAAACATCCGCCATTTGTCTCTCTGAGCTTGGCTTACCTTACTTAACATGATTTGTTCTAGGAGTATCTTCCACTTTACACTTGAATATACTAGAATTTCTGCCCTGGAACTTCTCAAAAATGTCTTTATTTTTCTTTTTAAAAAAATACCAGGCTAAGCCGGGGTGCCGGTGGCTAACAGCTGTAATCCTAGCCACTGAGGAAGCTGAGATCTGAGGATTGCGTTTCAGAGTTACCCCTGACAGAAAAGTCTGTGAGATTCTTACCTCTAATTAATCATCAGAAAACCAGAAGTGGTGCTACAGCTCAAATGGTAGAGCACTAGCCTTGAGCAAAAGAGATCAGGGTTAGCATCCAGGCCCCAAGTTCAAACACCATGACCAACAAAACAAAACAAAAGTACCAGTCTAGCCAAACATAACATAGAATGTCCATACTAGATTTGCACTACATTGTACAAAGTAACTGCATGGGTATATGAGTGATAATTCATTCTATTTTGTTTGAAGATCCCTGTGTGGTACTGTTAACTAAGATGAGCTATATTTCCTTGACATTAAAATTTTAATTATATTAGATTCACTTTATTATAAAGCATTTATCGTATAATCCAAATGTGATCCAATATATTGAAAAGTTGGGCTGAATTATGAAAGGCATTATAATTAATCTCTTTGCTTTAGTGACTGTTAGTACTGCGTAGATAATAAGAAGTGTAGTCTATCTTTGTCTTCATGAAGCTATTATATTAGAGGAAGGAGATAAAAGAAATGTTAGCCTAAAAAGAAAAACGAAAGATAAGACTATGAAGATGAAGTAAAAAGTATGGTATAGAAAACAAATATCTTAGGAAAATGAGAAGCATTGACACTTACACACAATTCTTTCTTTTAAATATATATTTTTATTGTAAAGATACTGTACAGGAAAAACAAGATACTATACAGAGGAGTTATAGTTACATGAGCAAGGTAATGAGTCTATTTCCTATTGAGCATTGTTACCCCCTCCTTTGTTTTTCCCCTACCATCCCTTCCCTCCCCACCTCCCCAACATCCCCCCCCTCCACAAAGTTGTAAAGTTCATTTTCAACATAGTGTCTTGTACCTCTCATTGTTACAATGGGTCATCCTGTATCCTTATTTCAGTCACTGTATTTGATTCCAATGTCCTGCATCTTGTATATATATTTTTCTAATTTGGGGAGGGGAAGGGAAATAACAAAATGCTGAAATAAGGATTACACACAGCTCTATAGACAAATAGTTGGGTTTGTTTTTCTTTTTAGAACTGGTCTGATTTTTTTTAACTTTTACCCTATCAGATAAATTTGTGCTTGATTCATCTCAGACTTTTCTCATTTAAACAGTCTTCTGTCATGAGAAAAAAAAAGAGACATTCAAACTCCCTGCAGATGCTGGCTTAGAGAAGCTGCTCTGCCTATCTGCGACCCCCATTCCAGCACTGCTGGGTACACAAGGACTCAGGGGCATTGCCTCCTGATGCCCTGCAGGTTCACACATGCTCAGTGTCAAAGGACTGCTGGGCTTTGGTCAAGTGAGTTATATTCAGACTGCTGAGGTAAACTGAGGATCGCTTCTCCTACCTTGGCATATTCACCTGTGGTTTAGCAAGCTCTCATTTGACCTCCAGTTAGTGTGACTATCCTTTCCTCAATCTGCAGGGACAGTTAGGCTATATATCCAGCTGCCTTGCCCTTCCTAGCGGGACATCTCCCCAGAGCAGCCCATTAGCTCAGCCCTATTAGGGACCTTATGTTTCCCCAATGCATCCAGCTGTTGGAACGTCCTAGGCCACTCTGGGCTCCCTTTAAGCTAGTCTCTTCTCAGAAACCCAAAAGGAATTAAAAGGCAAATTCTGTTTACACCCAGCCAATCTGACACCCCTGCCTATTGGGATTATGCAGCAGAAAGAGAAAGTCAGGGTGCCTCGCTCTCTCCTGCGGCCATCTTTCTCATCTCATAGTCCTCCAGTGGTCTTCCTTCTTGCATCATATCCTGAGTTCTCTCTACTTGCATAGATCTCTGTTGAGATCTAGTAGCCAGGATCACCTCTGACTATGCCAAAGGAGAGTAAGCAACACTTTAAAATATTCTTTGCTCATTATCCTTGATCTCCAGGATTGTTGACTCCACTGGAAAATTCTATTCAAGCACCAAAGGCTGAATTCAGACATTTTCTTTTCTCAAGCTTCCCCTTTCTCCCTTATTTCCTCCCTTCCTTCATTTGTACTGACACAGCTGTTGTACTCTCTGTACATTAGATGTCTTGGGCTCACAAAGGAGCAGCCTCATATTCACAGAAATGCAGGAAAGGAAACCACATCAAAATATGCCCACCATATTTGACCTCTCTTGAAGATCAGGATGAGTATACAGGGCACGGGGGATGGGTCAGTGTCCACTATGTTTCCTGGCTTATGTGGAGATATAGAGAAGGCCTGGGACTGGAATGTGGGAAAGCTAGCAGATTGGGCAAGGCATTCCGTGATATAGAACCACAATCCCACAATGATTTTGGCAGAAGCAGTTTAACAAGATGGTCCATGAGTTTCAAAACAAAGCTGTTGGGGTCACTACATGTATGTGTCTCCACAAATATTCATATTGTGTATTATCCTGTTCGTATATCAGATGATTCTTGCCATACAGAAATGCATTTATTAGCATTTAGTGCAATAGAGCAACATTTATGCAACACCTGTTAACTCAGAAAAATCATTGCAAGACCAATTGCTGAAATAACAAAATTGGGGACTTTTGGTGGGAGTTAACATTAGGGAAGTTGGGCTTAAATAACTTCATTTTTATTGAGAGTCCACTAGGTATAAGACAACTGACAAATCTGTTCTTCTGGTATCAGAATTTCTCAAAATTATAGACTTTCTGGTTAAGAGGTATAAAATGTCAGATATACAATCAGCTTACTACCTACATAAGTGAAAAAAGTGTGTTTTTATTTGTCATATCAAGATAGTTTAGCAGTGTTCCTCAGAAATAATTGCTTGTAGTGTGAATGGATTCTGTATTTTCTTTTCTGAGCCAGTCTGATATATTAACAAGTTCATTAATTAGATATGGTTATGGATATTAATTCTATGTGATACGTTGGACATAATATCAAGACTTTTTCATGCTGTATTGTTTAAACTAAGCCTGTTCATCTTTGAAAGGCCCTGTGTGAAATAAAGCTCATAAAGACCTACATTTCATTTTATAATGAAATATCCCCTTTTTAAATGGAAAATGTTACAACTCTTTATGTTAATCAGGATACAATGCCTCAGAGGACTTTTATAATTATGTTTTTATGGCTTGACCAATTTTATGTTTTAATTTTTAATTTCTTCCTCCTACCTTCATACAATTTTCTTCTTCTTTTTATGTGTTCTTCTCTACACCGGGACCTCCAAATGTTCAAGACATTTTTTAGTCAATGTCAAGTACCAGGACTCTCCCAAATTCATCTGAGTCAAGGGCAATTTTTTTGTCAATCATCATTTTGCCTCCTTTAAGAAATTATTTAGAAAAATCATTTCATATTACTAGGTCCTTGTAAAATATGGGAGGCCAGCACATCTTAATTATACTTATTTGTTTGTACAACTATACCTTCTCTAGGTTTTTTTTCTGTTCTCCATTAGCTGTTTCAACCATTCCACTATCAAAAGTTCTGTCAGGGAAAATAGGTGGATATGAACTTGAAGATCCAAGTTTGTAGGGAACACGGAAAGGCGTCTATCAGTGTTGGAGCTGGTCACGCCACCTGGGGTCCTGGGTACATCAGCCCAGTGTTTTTGACTCTCAACCCTGTTCTCTTCTCTTTGCATCAAATCAACACATTTAAAAATCAGGCATCTGAAGGCAATTTGGTGATTATTTCTGGTAACCTTCCAGACCTTTTAGTTACGTTAAAATCTGGTAAAATGTATAATAATGTACATAGAGTTCTAGTCATGCCCAACCTCATAGTATTTCTTCAGTTACCTAACATAATTATATATGGGCATATACATGTGTATACATATAATGTGTGTCAGATTTCCTGATCATTGGTCATAACCTATTCCTTAGTTTATTTGTCCATAGTACAAATTTGTCTTTGAGCACACCCACCTAACTAGGGGCCTTGCACTTGCTAGGAAATCCATAACTTGCCCTAATTCCTCTAGTTCTTCTTAGTTATCTTTTCATAGAATATGAGAAGTTGTTTCAATGTCTTATATTTCCTAAGACTTGTATTACATCCTAAGATATGATTTATTTTAGAGAATATTCCATGGGCAGCTAAAAGAAAGTGAATTGTGAAACTGTTGGATGAAATAATGTATAGATGTCCGGCAGAGTCCTTTCAAGTCTATAGTGTCATTTGATTAGGGGATTCCTTTGCTGATTGTTCAGGGGGGTCTGGATAATCTGTCTATGAGTAAAGGTAATGTATTGATATCTTCCACTATTCTTGTGTTGGATCCTTCTGTGCTTTTAAGTCCACTATAATTTGTTTGAAGAAATCAGTTGCATCGACAGTTGACGCATCAGTGTTAGCAATCATTATGTATTCTTGATGAATTATTCCCTTTATTAGTATGAAGTGACCATATTTTTCTCTTCTGACTGATTTGTATTCGCAAATCAGATATGAGTATAGCTAATTGTGACTGGGGGTCCCAGTTGCTTAATAAATCTTTTTCTTACCTTTCACCCCAAGCCAATGTTTGTTTTTCTCAACAAGATACATTTCTTGTAGGCAATAAATATTCAGTTATGCTTTTAAATACAAGTTGCTCCCCCATGCATTGGTTAGAGAATTGAGACCATTAATATTCTGTGTTGTTACTGAAAGGTATATAGTTGTTTGACATATTGTTTTTGAAGTATGTGATTCTTTCCTGATCTTCATTTGCTTATTTACTAATCTGGTGAGTTTTTTTTCCTGATTTTTCACTGTTAGGTTTATCTTCCTCATCTGTATATAGGATTCTTTGAAGTATCTTCTATAGTGGTTAAAAAACATTGTGTTGGTTTTTGTTGACCATAGGAAAGTCTTATTTGACCTTCAACCATAAGTGATAACTTTGCTGAGTAGATTAATTTAGCTTGACAGTTGTTTGCTTCCAGCACTTCAAATGCACCATTCGAACCCCTCCTTGCTTTTAACGTTGCTGATGAGTAATTGCAGTTATTTTTATTGGTTTGCCATTATATGTGACTTAGTGTTACTCTTTTGAAGCATTCAGTATTTCCTTGTCTGCACACTTAATCTTTAAATAATAATATTTGGGGAATATATTAAAGTAGTCCAGTACTTGAATATTTTATTTTTCTCAAGATTTGGGAAATTTCCCTACGATTTTGTTGAAATGCATTTTATCCTTTTGGCTTTTAGCTTTTGTCCTTCTGTGTTTATTTTACCTAATTCTTTGGTGACTGTTCTTACCTACCTAAGTTGTCCACAAGGCCCTCATGTTCTGTTTCCAATTTGACTCACTCTACTGGAGAGATTTTCCATTTTTAGGTATTACTTGGTCCCAAAGCCTGCCTGGGACTACTTGCTGGCAATCAATGTAAATTGATCACCGTATGATCTGAGCTATCAACCAACACAGGTTCTACCTTTGGTTTGCTAAGCCAGGCAGCCTTCACTACAGAGGAGACAAATCCATGCTTCCTATGAGCTTCAAACCTCTGTTACGGGGATTTGGAGGCTTCCCCAGAGTGACATGCCAGAATTAGATCTGACAACTTTTTGTTCTCCAGATCTCAAAGAGTGGCACCATCTTGTGGGAGGGCCTCCAGTTTGAGATTGAGATACTCAAGGTATCAGATTACATTTACCTTGAGAAAGCAACCTGCAGTCAGCGAGGCCCAGAGATTGAGCATGAGGTTTGAGAACAAAGGAACAGGTAGAAAACAGAGGGAATGTCTGCCCCCTCCCTTGTGAGAGCAACTTCATAGCCAGAAGGGTAGCTAGTCAGAAAACTATTTCCTAGTTTGCTCTGTCACCTTTCTGTTTTGCCACACCTTTCAGCAGTCCTGTTCCTCTCTGTGGTTTTCAATATTCTTCCTTAGTTTTGCCTTTCTGTGTAGTCTCTCCTTCATTACTCAGACCTCTTCTCATTCTCTGCCATCTTGTCTTGCCCCCTGGTTTGTTTTTCAGATAGTCTTTCACTTTGGCCCTGGCCAACTGTAGACTGACATCTTACTAACCCTGCCTCCCAAGTAGCTGAGATAACAGGTATATGCCAATATCATGGCTTGTCTTTTGAGGTAGGGTCTCACCAACTCTGCCTGGGCTGGCCTTGAAATGCAGTGCTCCTATCTCCATATACTAAGTAGCTAATGTCACACACATTTATAACCATACCTAGTCCCTATATTCAATTTTACAGTTAATGGACTGTAATTATGATATCTAGACTTCATATTGTAATAAATTACTATCAGCTGCCATGAAAAATTAGAAGTATTCCAATATTTATCATAGAAAAAGCTAAGTGTATGTTTTATATATAATCTCTTCTGGAAATTTTAAGGCTAAACAGATTAAGACCAATTTATTGACAGTGTTAAGCTGCCAAAGAGACGCCTCAGGATAGGTTATAACATGTCTTTAACCAATGTAAGTTATGCTATACAAAGCTAATTTTCTATGATTTTTTTTTGCAAAAGCTTTTGCAGAAAAATTGAGAATAAAGTGCTCAGAGATAATTGTACAAATGCTCTATCACTAGTTTTAAGATAAAAAATATATGCATGGTTCTTTTAACGTATCTCCTTAGAGTGATCTATTAAGAAAAATATGCTTGCTTTCCAAGAAAATATATCGAATTAGATAACTGAATCAGTGGATGAGAAAATTCTTCCATTAATATTTTCCACAAAAAGTATAATGAATTGCAATTCATTTTTAAAATTAACTGAAAATATGCATGTGGTCAAATTTTCTCCATTTTACTTTCATTAAAGTATTCTTACTCACTAAATGAAGCCATTGTTTTTTATCACCTTAGTGTTTGGAGATTGTGTTGAATGGGGCTGAATTTAATAAGTGAAATTGCTGTACTTCAATTAAACTCAGAAAGGGAAATCTGAAATTGATCCAGGTCTATTTTAGGATGTCAGATTGAAAAGCTACAACCTAATGATGAGATATTTGATACTGCCTTAGTTTTAAATATAGTCACTGGTGGATTAGTTTTTTTTTTCCATTGATAGAGAAAATTTTGTGCAATTGTATAATTATTTAATAGGACGCTAAGTTAAATTCTATAGTGTTGCAACTCTGAGTAAGAGGAAGGGACTGAAAAATAGTGCATTGTAATTTCATAATGATTTAGTTTATAATGACATTTAATTCCACTTGTTTAAGATGAACAATGAATACGTTAGAGGTGACTTATCTTGTTAAATTGTAGGTCTTAATTTTGATTGCAATTCACCTGAGAGCACTTAGCTGAAGTATTTGTCTGCATTAATTTACACTCTTCACATCCCAACTACAATGGATCAAAAGTTTACTTTAAAAAAAATTAAAAAGATAAAATCAGCTCCAAATATGTTATTATGTGCTGGTAGTTTTCCAAGGAGATTGCATATTTCAATTTGTGGTGTTGATCAACTCTAAAGCCTCGTGCTTTTGTTTAATATAAAAATTAAAGCTTCAAAATCATCCTAGTTATTATTTCCTAGGGGAGAGTGTATTATTTTACAGATTTTTAATTGCTCTAGGGCACAAAGAAGTATTAATAAATAATTTCATAGATTGTAGCAAAGCTAATGTTTTATGTTTCTTTAAACTTAACATTAATTTGACTGGCTAAGTCTATTAACATCAAAAAGTAAATCTATTTAAGTGAATTTTTTGTATATAAGCATTTTTATAAATTTTATTAATAGAAATTTTTTGCATAATGAATCATTTACCTTATTTGATATGTTTCTCTTGAAAAGCAAATAATATTTTCCTTGATGTTCTTCTCTAAGGAGATATTAAAAAGTCACATACAATATTTTGGTTTTAGAACCAATGATATAGCATTTGCCCAGTTATCTCTGAGAACTGTATAGTGGCTGCCTCTGTACCAGTGTGACTTGTTTCTACTGTTAAATATATCGAATTTTGCAACCAAACATCAAGTCCTATGCTCCATTTTGTTGTGCCTTGTCTAACAATATTACAGGTAGGTGCATTTGTTTTTAACTTAACCTCCTTCTTACCCCATATTACAAGTCTATATGCAAAGTGATGAGAATTTTAATGATCAAATTAAATTAGAAGCATCATCATTATCTATCATTTAATCAATTATTGAGTACCACCAACAAGCCTTTTACAGACAGTATTATCAGCCTCTGCCTATTTTAATAGGAAAAAGAAAGCATATGCTTTGCCCTGTCACAAAGAAGAAACTTTCCATGAGAAATGCGTGTGGACATACTTTCAATAAATCTGAAAGACCCATAGGTGGTTGGGTGCCTTTTTGTGTTTGAATTTTTGCTGGCTTGATTTTAATACAGCTTCAATAATTTCCCCATTTTTCACAATATACAATTCAAAAATGAGATTCCTTTTGTGAAGAGTTTCGGGGACAAGTAGAAAGTCATTTGAATGCTTGGAGACTTGTAGCTCACCCTCCTTTCTCTCCCTCATATTTCTGTCTGCCACTCATTGATCAGAATCACTCCTGACTGTTCAGGAAACAGGAAAATTCCCAAGTCCTTTGCATAGACAGACTCTCCAGTGTGGCTTTTCGTTTCCTTTGACCCGTGAATCCAAGGTTTCTCTGAATCACTTGACATGTTCCACATTGAATGGGTTTTCACAACCCTTAAACTCCACACCAGTCTTTGTGAGTTTCCAAGGAGTACACAACCCAAGTCTTTCCCTGAAGCTTAACCTGCAGAGATGGCTGTGACTTTTGAAGCATATTTTGTGAGTTTGTGGAAGTACTGAGCAGAGAATGCCAAGTTTTCCTTCCCTTCTTTGTGCTACAAGGCAAATTCTTTCAGAAAGTATTCTGTGCTCTTGGTAAGTCTCCAAGGACAGGGCTCTGGAGACTCAGTAGACATGTTTTAAGACGGGGGCAGTTGTGATTTTCCCTTGCCGCTGAATTAAGGAATAGAAAGTTGGCTCTAACTGTATTAATGCACAGTAGTGATTGTTTTCGTTTCCTCCATTGTTTTGGATTAGTGGTGCAAGTATTTTCTGAATAGTATTCCATGGACTGAATACTGCTCAGGAAAGAAATTCTTAGAATCACTGTGTGATTGTGTTCAGTAATTGTTTCTCATGGATTTAAGTTAATTAACTATCCAGAGAGCTAGAATTAATATGCTGTGCTTTAGGAGTTTTGTTTCTCAAACAATAAAATTCTTTATAGCGATGACTTTACCCTTCTGGGTGACTGCCTCAGGATTGGTAAAAATTTCAAAACTAACCCAGGTGATATTAAAATTTGTTTCTTCTAGCCCTAGGAACAAAAAATATATATAATTACTTTTGTACAGTCATGCTAAAACTATGAGACATCTACATAAACTTACTTACTGAAGTGTTTGGTACTCAAAGTAGATACTCTGCAAAAACTACTTGCTCTTTCCTTGAGTCCAGAAGTTAACTGGCAGAAACATAAAAAAGGCAGCCTCCCTGCCTCCATTTTACACAGTTGCTCTGAGTATTCCCTTCTGTTGTCTCCTTGGAGCCACTTTGGAATCTGCAGAGGACAGTCCTGAGGGATAAAAGGTAGGACAGGAGTCAGGCTACCCTACCCCTAAGACAAAGGTGTTTCTTATCATGACCAGGCCACCTGACCAATCCTGAGGAAATGAGTACCTAGACCGTACCTTTGCCTCCCAGTAGAACTGTTTAATGATTATGTATGCTGTGAAACCAAAGGAGGGGCAGAACACAAAGGTGCAATGCCTGCGTCACCTATAAATCTCCTTCCTCTGCCCTTCGCTACTGTTGGTGTCTTTATTTCTCATATTGGGGCAAATGGTCAGACATGAAATGTTGGAACCCTGGAGTTGGGCCTCTGGCCTAGCACTCTTGTGACATTAGGGAAAAAAATTTTTAACATACTGAGTAAATTCATCATTCATTTATCTATTCAAGTGGCTCTAATTATGATTTCTACAGTTATTAAATCTATATTAAATGTGAAAAAGTTTATCGTAATCCAACTGATCGAATTATATGAAAATGCCACTATTCATTACTTTTGATCTATAAAAATGGATATTTTTGTAGTCTTAACTCCATAACCCATAGTTGTATTGAGAATTGTTGTCTAGTTGAATTTTAAGCTACCATGGTTGCCACTATTTAAATCTTAAAGAGCAATAAATGATACACTGTGATCTGATTAATAATGTCTAAGTATATTTTCTTCTTGGAAACAAATTGCATCCAAATATTGCCACGCTCCTTTGTAATTCACAGATTCCTGTATTTAACATACTAATTCACCATTTTGTGGGAAGAAATATCAAAGAGGAAACAAATGGCCTTCTAAGGTTTCATATTTTCTGTATAGCTTTTTGACTATAATATAACATTAAAATATGACCCTATATTTAAAACTAAAATAATTGCCTGTGCTGAAAGATAACAAAGAAGTCTCCATAATTATTAAGTCATAGAATTCTTACTTGATGCCTCAGGCAAATACAGCTCTGATTTTTCAACAGGTAAAACTCCTGTCTTACCACCAGAATGCATTGGTAGGAAGAAAACCTTGTTAAATCATAAATCTATCATTGAACCATGGCACTTGAAAGCAAATACAGTTTTTGGAATATACACAGTCGCTTACTTTCCATTTCTGCAATAAAGTATGCCTGGCAAAAGAAAATTGGGGTCACGCAACCATTTGGGATAAAGAAACATGTTCTTAGGAATTATTTTTCAAATGACCGTAGATCTTGTCATTTTCTGGAAATAGTAGATATGTATACAAATCAAATCACCTAAGCATCTCACTTCAGCATTCTGGCTCTAGCTGAATTTCTTGATGGAATTATACCTACATTACCACCAGCTGCCTCTTCTCAGTCTTAAAGTATAATTCCATTTAGGGACTCTTATTATATCAAAACCTAATAAAAATCTAGTTATATAGTTCAAGAGTCTTCACAATCAGGTACTCTGTGATTGTGCATTGTGTCAGTGGCTCCCTCGGACTAATTCCTGATTCAACCACATCATCTTCTCTTTGAAAGGCACCTACCTGGAAGTCACTGAAGCAGCTTCAGTTGTATAAACAGTATGTCACCAGGACTCTAAACAGAGAAATTGGAGGATGGGAAGAGCCCCCTAGGAGGAGGATAACTTCCTAAGAAGAGGCAGTGTATTCCCTTAGAACTTTTTTTTTTTTTGAGCAAATATCAAGGAAGTAGAGTGTATTCCTGAATAGGAGACACAAATATCCTGGACCATCTTAATGTTTCAAAATAAATGTTCAGAGACAGCGCCTGGGCTCTGAGTTTAAGACCCATGACCAACAAAAATAAATAAAAATAAAATTAATAAATAAATGAATAGTAATAGAAAGTGGAGTTTTCTTCCTCTGACTCATTCTGTTTAGGTTGAACATCCAGAAATCACAAACTTGGTTCAAGTTCCTCAAAACAGTTAATAATTCCTCTCTAAAGAAAAAAAACATCAAAACAGATTCAGAGTTATTAAAATGCTTCAAAAACCTCTTGGGAGCCATTGAGTTGTCATTTGTTATTTCTTAGGCTGTCAAGGGCAGCTTTTATGAATAGGAAATGATTGTTATTTACAGTCTTGTTTGCTTCTGATGGAGGCTTGTGGGCTGCCAAGGTTACCCAGGGTTGGAGAAAGAAGAAGATTCACACACACACACCCTTTTTTAGATTAGTGGTTTGTTGAATTTGAAAGAAAGCAAAAATGACTCTTTTTTTTTTTGCTACTTTAATAAAAAGAGAAGAACAGAAGAGAGAAACGTGCGCTGCCTTCATATTGAGTGGATTGAAATACTGATTACACCATCAAGTTATTTTGTATAATATAGGCTGTCAATATGAAAAAAACTCAATTCTACAAGTAAAAATTTTAGCTCCAATTATGTGATATTTCTATTGACAAGCTTTGTTCTGGATTAAATCTTACATCTTCTTTTTTAAGAATATGGGAAAACCAGCAAAGAAGCTCTTCAACAAATATTTTGAAGCAAACTGAGAGAAATCACTTCCCATCCAGATGGACAGGAATATTATGCCCAGATCCCAAATGTAAATGTGTCTTAATTCTATGGAGCTACAGGCTTCCTCTTGCAACTGAACTTGGCTTCTTGCTTGCATCAGTTGGAAATGTGTTCATTCAAGGATGTTGGCATAGGCAGGCCCCTGTGTCTCCGCTGAACCACAGGGAGGCCGTTAGCAGTGAAAAGTTGCCTTTCTGCCATATACAAATTCAATTAGAAGCCCCAGGTAAAAACTGAATTAAAAGGTTATGGAAATAAATGTGCCATGTGTACCTGGCTTTAAACCCTGCCAAAATCTGGCTCTCTTGAACCACAAGAGGGAGTAAATTCTACAGGCCCTAGCCCCTGGTTTGGGAAATGCCTGGTTGCCTGTGGTATGCATTCTTGGTCTTAACTACAAACTTGGGAGAGAAAGTATGTTTTGCTATAAATTAGTTACTGAAACAACTACTGTCTCATGAATCAAGACCCCCTTCTGGAATTTCACGTGAAATATATTCCCAGTTTGAAGGGCAGAAGAAATATGAGAGGCTTTTAAATCTCTAGTTAGGAGTTTCGTATTGAGAAGTCAAGCTGTGCGATGCTTTTGTGTCTGAAAGGTATTCCTACTTGTGACCCTCTTTCTCTTCTCAGCAATACACAATTCTAACCAATTCAGATAGTTCCCATACTTCTCACTGTCATTTTCACATGTACATATAAATATGCTTTTCAATGGCTGTACTTAGAAGATGGCTTGTCACATTCGAAATCCAGGTTATATTGAGAATGCATTGTGCTGGAATTGAAAGGCAGAGATGCTAAGTGGCGATTAGGTCATTTAGTTAACAGGAGGAATGCCTTTCTATCTGGACACTGCATTAGTTGAGAGTGGGTGGTTCTCTGAAAGTGAGTTTGGCTTTCCCAGCCTTTCTTGCTCTCTTTTGCCCCATGTCTTTGTTTGCCTTCTTCCCTTTACCTGTTATGATAACCCCCACCAGACAGCATGACTGTGCCCTTCCCCAGAATCATGAGCAAAACTAAGCTTCTTTCTACTTAAGTCTCCGGCATTTGCATATAGCAATGGAAAACAGAAAATAATACCAGTCACCAGTTTTTCCTGCTATAGGGATGTCATTTGTTAACTTCCTGTTCTGGACCAGACACCTAAGTTTGTGATTGAAAGAATAGACTCTCTTGAAATAGGCCTCCTGTTCTTTAGTTTCTCACTATGTAGCTGAGGCTACCCTTCAACTCTTGATCCTGTACCTCAGCCTACTACTTCTACATAGTAAGAAGTACTACTACTACACAGTGAGAACTAAAGGGCTGAGTCACACACTCAAGGTCATACAGATCAGGTTTTCAACCCAGGCAGTGCGGCTCTGGGGTACATCTTCTTAAGCAGTTTAGGCTTTACAGGCCTTGATTTTCTCAAAGTCTTTGAGACCAACCAGAATCAAAGCAGCTACAATGCTTTAATCCCTGGTCACATCTAGATTTCATACAATTTAGGAAATTCCCTTTAAGAAAATGAATACAAAATTAAGCACACAAAATTAGCAGCAGCTAAAAATACTTAGTAATGTAATTTTTAAGCCTTTCAGTGGAAGCCATCACTGAGGAGAGAGACCAAGCTAAAACATAAAAAAATAGAACTCTGTATTTTTGTGTCCTCTTCACAGTGAAGGACAATGTTTTATTCCCAAAGAGGATTTATGGACTTTATTTTTTCTGCATAATTTTTGTTGAGATGAAACTTTCAAGCTACAGAATTAATTATTATAAAGTGAGCATATTAGTAATACTTAATACATTCACATGTTATACAATTATCATCTCTTAACATTCCTGAACATTTCCATCCCACCAAAAGGAAACCTCGTCCTATTAAGAAGTTACCTTCAATTTCTCCCTAGGAGTTCCTAGCAACTGCGAACCTAATTCCTGTCTCTACTTAGTTATGCTACATATTACTTATTCCACTGACTTCCTTCACTTAGCATTATGCACACGTTACAAATTATAGGAACTATCATTTTTTCATTGCTTTCATATCTAAATAATATTTCATGAAGTATATGTACATGATTTGTTGACCAGTTCATTCAGCCATCAGTGGATGGACATTTGAATTTTTACCATGTTGGCTATTGTGAAAATGCTCTTTTGAAGATGCCTGTGTATAATGGATTTCAGTCCCTGTTTTCAGTACTCTGAGATATATATATATATATATATATATATATATATATATATATAGCATTGGAATCCCTGGGTCATTTTATGTGTCTACATTTAACTTTTGAAGAACTCATCAATTGTTTTCAGGGCTGCACAGTTTTGAACTCCCAACAGAAACCCATAAGTCTTCCATTTTCCCCACATCCTTGTCAATAACTGTTGTATATTCATTTCTTAAAAAAATACAGACATCTCATTTGGACTCAGAAAATTATTCCTCCTATTTTTTTCTAAAGACATAAATAGCCCTGATGATCAATTCATATTCTACTTCTAGTTTTCTTTAAGTCCTCAAAGGTCAAAATCTGATCGTGTCAGACACTTGCTAAAAATTGTTCCAATCACCATAACAAGTTCATCTTAAATAAAGTATTTATTTAAGGGTGATGTATCAAAATGGAAAGATCAGTCAAGTAAAGAAGTATATTCAACTTGCCAGGCTTTATAGAAGAAATATTAATTAAAATTTTAATTGTGTATACATCAAAAAGAAGATTCATAGTCAAATCTTACTTTAGTTCTGAGTCTTTTTTTTGTCTAGGTCCAGAACTTGAACTCAGGGCTTGAACTCACTCAACTTTCTCTGCTCAAGGCTAGTGCTCTACCACTGGAACCTCCAGTTCCAGATTTTTCTGATTAATTATAGGGTTTATGTTTTATCTATCATGGCTGGGTATGAACTGAAGTCCTCATATCTCAGCCTCTTGAGTAGCCAGGATTATAGGTCTGAACCACTGGTTTCTGAGTCTTTATATTTGAAAATGTATTGAAAGTTGGATGCATAGAAGTGGTTAAAACCTAAAGACAACCATATATTAATTACCTAAATTGTATTTTACGCTCAGAAAAAACTCAGGGCCTCACACTCTCCTTTGGCTTTTTTCACTCTAGGTTGGTATTCTACCACTTAAACCACACCTCTAATTCTGTTTTTTTTATCATTAATTGTTGAAAGGAGACTCATGGACATTTCTGCACAGGTTAGTTTCAGTCTCTGATCTTAGTTCTCAGCCTCCTGAGTAGCAGGTATGAGCCATCAGTGCCCAGAAAGGCTAATTTTCTTAATCAAATTTTTAGGTACCTTACCCTCATGGACTTCTGTTTTTCCATATAAAACAAAATACTTGAATACCAAAGAGTCCTAGACATCTAATTTTTATCCTTTCAGTGTTTGAGAGGAAAGACATCAAGAGTTAATCTGAAATCTGTGCTACAGGAGAATTGGAATGAAGGCAGCAATGTTTGTGCATCATTGACATCTTTTTGTGCCTTATAAATCATAGATTCACAGAAACTTGAACCCTTGATGCTGATCTTTGTGAACATCATGCCCTTCCCAAAATAAAAACATCAGACTCTTCCTATTGCATAAACAAGCAAACGTATCACCACAACAAATCTTACCATCAGAACAGACCAAAGCTGAATGCTGCCATGTGAGCCAGGGCTAGGGGTGAGGAGCCTCAAGGCATCAATGCTACTAAACCCTCTGGACTGACCTGTCCCACACCAGCCCCACAGGCATCGGTGTACCTTCCTCAGATGCTAAAGAATACAGACCAGTGATCACTGGTCTGTTCATTGCTCTCTCCCTGCCATAAAAGGATTGAACATTGTCAGTGGTCTTAGTTGGTAGTCATAGTCAGGATGAAGCAAAGTCTAAACGAAGGGTTTGCCAAGCCAGAGCTGAAGAATTCCTACATATGAAAAATTTGAACAGTGATTTTCACAATAAAAAAAAGAAAAATTTGAACAGTGAGTGATCTGCAAATGGTGGGAAATTAGTTTAAAAGCAGAAAAATTGAGTTCTTCTCTGATCTTTTTTTCAGCTTTTTGATAAGCTGAAAAATATCTAGGGCTTTTTGAGAGGTGTTTTGAAAGATATTTTTAGGAGCCAAGGATGATTATCAAGTGCATGCTTGGTAAATGAGGTGATGTTTTATCCTATAATCATTCAGAAAATCTCTTCCAGTAATATGCACTAGCTAACAGCTAGAATCTGGTTATTAGAAGCTAGGGAAACATTCAGCACTCTATTAAAATGCTCTGATGATATTTTGGTGTATGTGTGTGTGTGTGTGTGTGTGTGTGTTTGGTTTCTTATTTGGGATGACCATAGTAATCTGAACAAGAAACAATACTTCGATATATAAGGTACAGTAGTATAATCAAGATGTTTGGAAAGGTGTTCAAGGCATCTGACAAGTTAGATTAGATCTCAGAGTTCCTTCATTAGAACATTTATGCTCTCATCAGTAATGAATCAATCCCAGAGGCAAAAATTATCATAAGACTATTTCTCCTTTAGGTCAAAGCCAAGCTTAAAGAATGTAAGTCAGGGCTAGGAAGATGGCTCAGTGGTAGAGCACTTGCCTTGCATGCCTGAGGCCCTGGGTTCGATTCCTCAGCACCACATAAGTAAAATGAAAAAAGCCTGAAGTGGTGCTGTGGCTCAAGTGGTAGAGCACTAGCCTTGAGCTGAAGAGGTGAAGGACAGCGTCCAGGCCCAGAGTTCAGGCCCCATGACTGGACCCCCCCCCCAAAAAAAAAGACTGTGAGTCAAAGAAAAAAGGAATGTAAGCCTAGTGATTTGCAGTAAAAGCTACGGGGAGGAATAGATAGAAGTCTTTATCTTCTTTTTTGGTAGATGCATTAAAAACAGTCACAAACAATTGACTTTGACCTGACAGCTTTGTTAAAAGATCTTCTATAAACTCTTTTTAAAATATTCTTCATGATGAACTTACCTATATGTAAGTCTACATTTTATGCACACTTTTTATTCCTCGTGGAATAAAAAATTTAATTCCTAAGTATAGAATTTGTCTTTATATTCAGAAAATGAAGTAGAATCTTATCAAGGTAATTAGACTAATATCTTGATTCCATACAGAACATTATCAAGATATTTGTGGCCTGCATTGTGCACAGATGCATAGAAGCATACCCCTTATAGATGTGCATTGATTTATACCTCACAGATGCATATAGGTTAGTATGTTACATATATTATCATAGGTCATGAACAAATACTTGTTTGTCGCCTTTCGATTCTTAGGTATATATATTTTATAAATCTGTACAGGCCTGTGACTATATAGTCTTATAAAAACTTATACCATATATATATGATATAGATATATTTAGACATTATATATATGATGACTTTATAGCATCATATATGTCCATACAGGCCTGTAACTTAGAGCCATATAAAGTTGTATCATTTATAAAGTGACCAAAGACTCCTTAATGAAGACCTGGGGGGGGGGAGGGGAGGTGTGTACTGGGGAATGGACTCAGCTTCTTGACCTTCTTCTGCCACTTGAACCATGGGAAGGAATGGGAAGAGGAAACAGAGGAGGAGGTTACAATGCTTGATAAGAAAGGTACTCATTATCTTGCCCATATAATTGTAACCCCTCTGTACAGTATTTCTACAATAATAAATAAAATACACAATGCTGTTTAAGAAATGGCTTGAAGCCAGGTGCTGGTGGCTCACACCTATAATCCTAGCTACTCAATAAGAGGCTGAGATCTGAGGATCACGGTTTGAAGCCAGCCTGGGCAGGAAAAAGTGTGAGACTCTAGCTTCAATTAACCACCAAGTCAATTAACCAAAAAGTCAGAAGTGCAGCTGTGCCTTTAAGTGGTAAAATGCTAGCCTTGAACACAAAAATCTCAGAGATAGTTGTCTAAGCCCTGAATTCAAGCCCTAGGACTAACAAAACAAACAAACAAAAAACCCAAAGACTTGAAAATCTCCCTCCTGCTCTTTCTGCCACATGAGTAGACATGAAAAAAGGGCTGTCCATGAATCAGGAAGTGGGGCCCTCCCCAGATAGCTAGTCTGCCAGCACTTCACCTTGGACTTCCCACCATCCAGAATGACAAGAAATAAACTCCTTCAACTCCACCCATGGTGTTCTGTGGTAGCAGACAGGCCAGAATAAGCCCTTCCCAGTTGTTGTAGGCATTCTTCTTCCTACCACCCCCTCACCTGTGATGTTCATCTAAAAACCCCCACAGCTTCAAAATGGAGTCTCTTCAGATAGTCTCAAATTCCAATATTTTTTGCAGTTAATATGTTTCGTTTAAAACATCACCCAGGCAGATTGTTGTCAGCTTGTAATTTATTTAAATTGCTCTTGGCTTCATTTCCATTTTGTAGTCTCTAGCTTAGCATTTCGGATGCAGAAATTGAATCGGAGTTCAAAAATGCCATGTATTTTTTTTCCTTAAATACATGTTAAATCTTGCAAGGCCTGTAAGTAATGGCTCATTTCAAAAATTAAAAATAAAGAGCCTCAATGGGAAGTCAGGTACCTTTTATCTGTTTGTGTTTGTGAGCAGGTAAACTTTTTAGCAAGGCAGTCACGGCTGTTGAAAAGCACAGGCTGGATGTAGGCTGCTGTATTGATTCAGATGTCATAATTAAATGAGCCCGAGACTGGGCTCAGATTGGCACAATTTGGAAGATGGATCAAGAGTCAGGAAAAGATATGAGTTAGAGTCTTTTTCCCTAATAGTACTTGTCAGAATTTCAAGGATGAGAGCCTCTATCAATTGGAACAAGGGCAGCATGGCTGAGATGGGCATTGGCATCTTATCAATTCTCTGCTTTCTAAGAGAACACGTAGGTGACATCTGTGATTTATTTCCGATCTACCAGTCTGCTGAGCATGGGTCTGGAGATCACTGCCAAATTACTCTACTCGTCTACATGCTAAAAGGCTGCTGTCACATTCAAGACGGTCAGAAATTCACCTCCTTCCCACCAGGGAGCCCAGAAACTACACAGAATTAGGATTTACTTGCTGTGTGTGGTGAGCTACCTGTGAGTGTTAGGTTGGGGCCAATAAATTTCCAGTCAATTGGCATTTTTCCTTCTTACTTTCGGCATATTATGCTTAAAATACATGATAGTTATATCAATGAAACTATAAAATGTAAAGGCATAGTGTCCAATAAGTTTACCACCTCAACCCTAAAAAATGACCTTCCAAGTCTTTCCTAGACCATAGGCACCCTATTAATATAATTAATGCTATTAATTATATTAAGATTAACTTTATTAGCTATATTAATATTACCATTTACACCAAGAAGAGTCTATCCGGTTAATGGCTGTTTATTACCATGAGGTGGTATCTCCCCAAAGTGAGGAAGAAGAAAAAAACAATCTAAAACGTGACCTAGAGGAGGGAAATGAGTTTTATTTCAACAGCTCCTGTAAGGAACCCACATTTTCCTTATCTTCAGAAGCTATTTCTGTTGTCAGAAAACTTTGGATTCGTTTCCCCCATCTTTATATCCTTACCCTTAAAGGACAAAGTCAGAGAGCTATGATGCTTATAATCCTAGCTACTCAGGAGGTTGAGATCTGAGAATTAGGGTTCAAAGCCAACCTGAGAAGGGTAGTCTATAAGACTCTTACCTCCAGTAAACCATTAAAAATCTGCAAGTGAGGCTGTGGCTCAAGGGGTAGAGCACCAGCTAGCCTTGAGCAAAAAAGCTCAGAAACAGTGCCCAGACCCTGAATTCAAGTCCTAGGACTGGTGCGCACATGCACACACACACATGCACACACACACACACACACACACACATACTCACACTCATACACACACTCACATATAGGGCACCAGTGGTGTTTTATATTTTTCTTTAAATACCACTACTTCTAGGCCCAAAGCAATGAGAAATATTTAAAGTTAACACAGCAGTTCCTCTGGCCCTTGAATCATGACTTTCCAACCTGGGAACTGACCTGAATCTATGCTACTTATTGAAAAGACCTTAATATCACAGAATGGCAGTTCTCACCAACATGTGTTCACCATCTACCTCTCCCACACTACCCTCATTATTACAGGAGTCATTATTTTAGGCTGTCCAGTGGCCCTGGGAACTATAAAGTGGCTCTAGTGATAAGTCTCTGTGGCACTTATATGTACACAACCTTTCTCTGATCATTTGTCCTAACTTGCCCCCAAAAGAAATTTACAAAGGTCTCTTATTCTTTATGTATCACACAGGAGATTTTTTTTCAACCCATGTTCTTTCCTAAGAATTATAAACGAACTGGAAAACCCATCAGGGTGTATTTTATGTATTAAGAAGTTAATTTCCTGCCTATGGGTAATATGTAGGATTCAGTGCTTTTTTCCAATGGATTGAAAATGCTGCATAATACTTTCTAGGCACTAGAAAATACTTGCATCTTTTAGAAATCTAAAATTAGAAACACCCAGCTATTTCCCTGCCCAAATCCTTAATCCCACACTTGAAAATCAGGAGGCTTGCAAAGGTTAAAATTATCTGTCCAGGACCTGAAACACTCCCAGGGTAACATGAGATTTGGAGTCAAAGGCCTGGTGTGAATCAATGATTTTCTTCTTATTTAGTCCTTGGGAGTCCTTGAGCAGTTATTCAGCTTCTTTCTTAACTTTGATGCCCTCTTTTGTAAAATGGAGAAGAAACTCCATGTAGAGATTAAACTCATTAACAAAATGCTTGGCACCATTCCAGTCATGGCTGAGTTAGTGGGTACTAATCTTTAATTAATGGGAAGCATGCTTCAGGTTGGTGGTGGAGAGATGATCATTGTAGTGATGGTGACCATAGAATGGTCATTGTTCTTATATACAAGATCTGCAACCCCTAAGACCCCCCTCTTCGTATTCCTACCCCTACCTTACTCTGAGGGTAATAGACAATTATTTCCAGGGAGCTCCACCTTAAAGAAAACTCTTTCCTGTATTATTTGTAATTCCATCCCCATGCCTGATAGGAGGAAAGTGTGTTATGCATTTAGACAATCCATGCTACAAAGTGTTGGCAGAAATAAACAAGCTGTCAGGAGTAAGTGATTCATTTCTCATCTACTCAGATGACATCTGATTTAAGTGTGATGAATACATGCTTGTTTAAATCATGTGGTGATGCTGATGCTATCTGACAGAAATGTTTGCAAATATTTTGGGAATACCCTAAGTGTTTGCAACCAAAGACTGAGCTTGTTTTTGTTTTGTTTGTGGGGGGGGGCAGTCAGCATAATCTGTATTAAAGTAGTGTTTCCCTCAATCTTCCGAGGCTAGGAGTTTTGGATCTTCATCTACCACACTGTTTAAAGATGACAAAGCATCAGCAACATGCTGATGGGAAACAAATATCCAGTGATTATTAGGACATTTAGGAAATGTCTTTAGAATAATAGAAATAGCAGGCAGCTCCACATGTCTGAATGGATTTCAGTTATATTGAATAGTCTAGTTATTGTTTTCATTACCTTTGTAGCTATTTTATTTAATGATTATTAGTGAATTATACTATGCCAAACTTGGATGAGTACAAGAGAAAATGGCCACTAGGGAAATGATCAGTCCTGACATAGTGCGTGGTGGTTCACATCCATAATGGTCAGATGTGATGTGTTCTTTTAAAATGCCCATGTACCATGCACTATTGGTTATTTTGGATTGTTCTTGTCAGGCCAATTCCTTTCCATATTGAATGATCTGAGAATTAGCAGTACTTAGCTAAAAGACACTGATAGTAATTTATATGCAGAGAATTTAAATTATATATAGAAATTCTAAATTATCTGAATATTGAAAGTTGAAGGCTTATGCATAATGTATAACAATTGCTCAGTGAGTTAGGAATAAACCTTTACATGGAGAAAGTCATGTGAAACATGTATCAGAGCATAAAAAATGCATGCTTGATATACAGCCCATTTAATAATATATTTATGCAAGGAAAAGAGAACACATTTTTGCTTTGAATTCATGACACTAATAGCTACTGTTTGTATATAGCACATTGCACTTTTTAAAATACTTTCTGTGAATTATGTCACATAAGATAATAATTTTATTTTATTCCAGGCAATTAATTATATTTTTCAACAATATAATCAGCATTTCAAATATGTAGTTGATTTCCTGACATCAATAAATGAAACCAATTTTATGAGCTATTTGTATAAAAAGGCCTCAAATATTTCAGAATAATTGATTTTTACATAGTAAGTCTATAATCTCTATCATAATATTTTCTCCAAGTCCTTTGTTGTTAATTTATGTTTGGAAAGAGAGAGTGTTTTATAAACAGTATTATAGTAAGCACTTTATGGTGCACCCTAAAAACAACAATTTCTGTTTCATATCAATTACAGAATGTTCCAGGCGTGCCCTAAAGTATTAATGGTAATGTAATATACAATGAGAAAGAATTGTATCAATTTCTAATGAGACAGAGTTTCAGCTAATGACTAGAGGTTTGGTGAGCTTGGGCAGTACAAGGGTTTGAATGCCTTTGCCTAACTCGATTCTATGAAAATATAATCTCAGAGCAGTAGTTATAAATATGTGTGGGTGGGTGTGCACATACATGTAGGAAAGATTGAAAGGGTATAGCAAACTGGTCAGGAACTATATTGGGAGACCAATATGAAGAGGAAGTTGGAGTTAATGAGAGCTTTTTATGTTTCATTGCTTATGTCACTATCTTACTTTAGGGATTTGTTTTGCTGTTTTCTGTTTTTGTAGTACGGGAATGTGAACTTGAG